TTCCCAATCTTCCACCATCTCCTCGATGGTAGCAAGGCCACCAGCAGTTACCTCAGTGACCTTCGGGTCACTGGAGGGTGCCTGCTTGGCACACCCTCTGACAGTTACTTGGGCGCGAACGCCCCCTGGACCCTGCCTCACCATTCCCACGGTTTCGACGCAGTCGCTAGATGACGACCGGGTCAAGCCTGCAACAGAACTCTTCCCAGCCGGTCCTGAAGGATCCGAACCTTCTGGAACCGTAACGGTTTTTTTACAATGGTTTCCTTCCATAATTGGTTTTTACGGGTGTCCTTCCCTGCGTTTTACCTACCGCCAGGGGATTTGTTTTCGGTGTTACCTTCACCTAGGTGGTCGCCTTACCAGGCTATCGGGCCAACCCGCTCGTATGGATTTACCCTCGATCGCTACCGCTTATTCGTCCACTTTAAAGTGGCTTATATCACGGCTACTCTGCATATCTGCAGGGTTAACGAGCGAACGAGTAGCTCATTATCAGCGACCGCTTATTCGTCAGTCCAAATGAATGGACTGCTTATTTCGCGGTTAACCTGCATATCTGCAGGCTGTTCCTCTATCCGCAACCTGAGGACGCCCCCGATTCCCCGAGCTAGGGAGACTGTGCTCGTGCCGACGTTTCGTAGCCCCGTAGAGCCCGATCACGCCGTCACTGTAACGCAACGAAACGGGAAATTGTCTAACTCGCACGATAATTATTTAAAATTCTCTTCTATACGTGCCCAATATAAAACCTTAAGCAGACTTGATAAAACCTTAAGCAGACTTGATTACTCCTGATATGTAAACCATTTTCAAAAATATTTTAAATACCATCCTAAAAATTTTGGTCTTTCATTAATAACCTTAAAAAGTCACCTGGTCTGCCTAACTCAATATCATTTAATCAATCTAAAGCTAAAAATGGCCAAGATATAGTTGATTTATTTAGTCAGTACTTTTCTTCAGTATATATAGATACAGCTTCAACTAACATAAACATTCAACATAATAAAATTCAGTCTACTGATTCGTTTAATATACTATCGATTGAACTACTTGACGTATTCAATGAACTAGATACTCTGTCACACAAAAATGCTATTATTCCTGATGGACTCTCTCCTATATTTTTATTTAACTGCAAATTCATACTCTCTCCACCTATAGCAAATCTATTCAATATTTCTTTAAACAGCACTTTGGAAATCTACATATATCAATCCAATTCTCAAAAAAGAAAATAAATCATTAATTTCAAATTATCATCCCATATCAATAATATCAATCATACCAAAAATATTTTCTAAAATAGTAAATAATAACCTTACATCAATGTTTAAAATTATCCTGGTATCTCAACATCATGGATTTAGAAATAATAAATCATCTCTTACTAATTTAATAACCATAAAACATCATATAATAAAATCATTTTTCAATAATCATCAAACCGATGTTATTTATACTGATTTCGAAAAAGCCTTTGATAGAGTTAACCACGTTTTATTAATCAATAAACTACATAAAATATGCTTTGCTGACCGCCTTGTATCATGGTTTAACTCCTTCTTAGGTCATCGAATCCAATTTGTTAAATATAAAAATTTTATATCAACGCCTATAAAAGTAATTTCTGGAGTACCACAAGGTGACCACCTTTTCCCTCTCCTATTTAATTTATTTATAAATGATGTTGTATTCTCCATCACACACTCCAACATCCTATTATTTGCTGATGATGCTAAAATCTATAAATCTATAATTTCCATTGATGATATCAAACAACTTCAAGATGATTTAGTTGCATTTAACAAGTGGTGCATTTCAAATGACCTTTCACTGAATATAGATAAATGCCAAATTGTTACTTACTCCAAAAAACACAATCTCCTTCATTTGAACTATAATTTAAGTGACATTAACCTACAACGTTCCTCATTAATTAAAGATTTAGGAATGTTATTTGATTCCAAACTGTTATTTAACGCCCATGTAGCAGCGATAAAAAATAAAGGCTTAGCAGTTTTTGGAATTATTGAAAGAAACTGTTTCAATTTTCATGAATCACTTGCTTTTAAATGTTTGTATACCTCTGTAGTACGTTCCTTATTAGAAAACGCTCCGTTAATTTGGGACCATAACAATACAGGACAAAATGATCAATCGGAAAGAATACAAAATAACTTCCTAAGATTTATATGTTATAAATGTAATTTCCAACGCACTTCTCACTCTGGGTACGAACAAATTTTAAATTTGTTAAACTTAGATACTTTAAAATCTCGCAGAAACATATCATATAAAATCTTTCTCCAAATGATTAAATAACAAGATTGGTGACTCATTCATATTAGGCCAACTTAACTTTAAAGTTAATAACTATTGCACCCGAAATAATGATTTATTTTATATACCTTACACAACCAAAAAATATGCGTCTAAAGACCCAATAAATATATTAATGTCCGTAGGAAATAGTCAATAATTTCCTTTATTATTATTTTTATTATTACCATATACTCTATTTAACTTTTATTATGCTTATATTATTATTTTCATAGTATTAAATTATATTATATAATTGTTATCATTGAATTATATTATAAATTGGACATTTGTACGTAAAAATGAATGAATAAATAAATAAATAAATAGTGCTCAACATACCACATAATATTTGTGTCAAAAGACCTAATGAATGGTAAGACTATCAGTAGAAACAGACTACTTCACTAAGTAATTGTTGCATTTTTAATATGAAAGACAACATCAAATAGTTAATCAGAAAATAAATCTTTATTAAGAAATAATATAATTGTTAATAATGTGTGTATGTTGGTGATTGCACCCGCGAGTAGTGAAAAATCACCACTACTAATTTATATAATATTTATCAAAAAACGTAACACCTCTTTCCTTATGACATTGTAATACACTAATATTTAAAATAATTACCAACAAATAAATAAATATTGCAATTTAACGAGGAAGTAAGATTTAACTTACAATGTACCGTTCATAACCAAATAATATATTCATTCAAATAGACAAAGATTTACATACTGTAAACTGAGTTGCTATTATTTGTAGTCGGACAGAGACCCACATAGCAATTTCAATATATTAATATTGTCAAAATATTCTTACAAAATACTTTTTAAAATATTTTGAATATAATATTGTAACAATATCTCATAAATATAATAAAAAATATATTCTATTGAAATATTTCCATAATATGCTCACAATATAATTTTTTAAATATTTGTTTATGTATATTTTGAAAATATATTAAAGAGAATAAATACAGTATATTACACAGAATATATTTCTACAATGTGCTTAAAAAATATATTTTTAAATATTTGCTTATAAATACTATGAAAATATATTAATTAAAATAAATATAGAATGTTTAACTTGAAATATTTGTTGAATATATTATCAATACAATTTTTTAAATATTATAAATTGACACGGCCACGGCGTTGTCACACGTTGACACCCCGCGATCGTATCAGCTCCTTCTCAGCCACCGCTTCACTGTAAACCGGACCGTTACACACACGCGTTATCGTCGTGGTGTAAAGTCCAACAAATGCCTAGCGTCGAATACCCCGCCGCAATAATACGTCCAGTCAGTCTTCTTCGTGACACCTTTGACACTGTTACACGCCATCCACCGGATCAACAAGAACGCCACCGCGATTTCGATTAACTTGTATTTTTTCTTTTGTCAACGGTTATTCAAATCAATACTAGTGTTATTATCATTGTTCGCATATTATTTTTGTGTTACAACTCTCTTTTTTTTATTCTTTTATTAAACGGCTCGACGCCAAGTAGAACTACAACCGGTGTTACTTCATTCCTCACCATCTTTTACCTTAACAAAATATATATCTTGTTGGCCAACTGAGGTAACTTAAGAGACACAAGCCATCCTCTTTTCTCCATTTAGTTACATCTTTGGATGTTATTGGTATCTTGTTATACAGGGTGGCCCACCACTCACNGTGGCCCACCACTCACTGACAACTTAAATAACTTTTGATCCAGTTAATATTTTTAGCTGATTTTTTTTTTAAATAATAGTTATACGTTAGGTCTATAGCTATATCTCAATAATTAATTTTTTTACATTTTATTAAAAATATTAATTATTTTTAAATTTTAAATAAAATGTAAAAAAAAAATCTAAGATAGCTATTTTGTAGAGTAGAATTTAAGAAAAATTTTAGTAAAAAAATATCTTAAAAATATTCAATAGTAAATATTCTGTAGCGTTTTGAAGTTTGTGAAAATTTGAAATTTCATATATTATTTTACGGTATTAAACATTGAAATACGTATTGAGAAAAGGACAGAAGAAAACGCTATCTTTTCATGATTACTGTGTATACATATGATGATAATGTGTATACATTACAAACTTGGCATTAATACCTTGATAAGAAATTAGATAAGGCAATTATTACTTATCACTCTCATTCATCAATATTATAAAGTAAACTGTGAATATACCTAAGTATTTCGTAGTCATAATATTATTTTTTTAATTATTATATAATTTGAGAAAGGCCCTTTCTGGAAGGGACTAAATTTCTGATATCGTCACTGGTGTAACCGTATAGTCTTTATGGGACCAGTGGTCAACCTGTTAAAACCAAACCCAACCCAACGCACACGCGGTGTGTTAGTTCTACAGAGCACTGTGTCTGAGTCTAGCCCCAGCTAGGCGAAGTCTAGTAATATTTTAATATTTATTTAAACGCAATGTTACTAATATGTTCATCATTACCTCTAATCATCATCAACTATCGTACTCCGGTTCACCCATATGAATATATTTTTGTGGAAAAAATAATTATTATAATTATAGTAATATTTAACGAATATTATATTAAATTTTGGTGTCGTTAAATAATTTAAATTAATAGTTTAATAACGTTATAGTTTATTTATTATACAATACATAAAAATAGTAAATGTTGGCCGGTATTAATATTTTATTTATTTATAACGTAAACCCATGACAATAATAATAAACAAATTATAAGATTAATATTAATACACAAGAAAATATCTATTTTTGTTGTATTTAAAAAAAAAAAATGAACCAAATATTGTATTATTTATTGAATATTATTTTAATTTTGAAGTGGTTTGGTAATTTTAGCAAACAGTTCAATAACATTAAATTATTAAATGTCTAATAATGAAAATGAATATTCAATTTTTTTCTCAATTTGAGAAAACAATTTATTATTTTCCGCATAATCAATAAAAGACTTAATAACATCGAAGTCATCCTTTATAAACAAACGCTTTAAATTACTGATAAATCTTTCAGTAGCGCCTAAACTATAAAACTTAACAGTCTCTAGCTCTATTTCGTTGTGAACTGGTCTACATATTTCATCTTTCACAAAATAATTTTCTTTGCCGTTTAATTCCATTTCTTCTAATGCATTGCACCCTAAATCCAAACACAAAGTATTTAAATATGATTTGAGCAAATGGTCATCGACATCACGCTGATTTTCAATTGTTTTTTTTACCATATTAACATAATCATTGTCTTTTAAATGAAGGAACTTCACAAAGTCCCTAAGTATTTTTACCCATTTATCAATCAAAACTTCCTTAGTAGATTCATTTTCTTGTTTTTTTACGTATAAGATATGTTTCCATGTTAACCTTAATATTATGACTTTGAAAAAGCTAAAAACTAAATCGTAGTATTTTTGAATACTACTCAATTGGTTTTTCCTCCAATCGATATTATTTGCTTTTTCGTAGTTTTCCTGCAATTTCTGTAGAACACTCTTTTTAGTAACATTCCAATCAACTTGTACATTGAAAGAAGTCATTAACAACTTTATTCTAAATTCGTTATCTCCGATATTTTGAATTAGAATATTATTTACAGCAAATTTTTCGTAGTTTACTGCAGGTAAATCAGTATTTTTTAAAATAAATTTGTTTATGATAGAGATTTCTTTTTTTATGATATTAAATATATCTATTAATGGCTGATTTTCTAATTGTTTTAATTTATATTCATGTATATAAAATTGGTTTTTCTCTGTACTACATTTCATGCCTGATGCCTCAGATTCTAAAACATCTATAATATAATTATAACTATCCTTAAAATAAATTTTAATATACTCTACAGAATATCTTTGAATGGAATTTGATTGTATCAATTTATGTACATGACGGCAAACTATACCTAAATATAAGTTTAATAACCATAAAGAACCTATTTCAACACCTTTGAAACCAAATAATGTACTCATCATTTTTTTTAAAACTCCAAGATATCTCGACATTGAATAAAATACATTTTTTAGTTCTCTGTCCGGATGATATAATTCTAATCTAGCTATTTGCAAGTAATTTATAGCATTAAATAAATAAGAACATTTTAAAAGCTGAACATTTTCGATTGACTTTACTTGGTTTTCCTTGTATCCAGTGTTAAGTGTATCATTATGGTTTACTTGCATTAAAAGTAACACCATAGTTACGTTTATTATTCTCCTTGAGTTATTACTTGTAATTAACATCTCAATGAAACAAACAATCATAGATTTTATTAACTTAATTATAAGACACTATAGAAAACGTGTAAATTATTGCAAACTACAACTTTTCAGTTTTATATTATTTTATATATGTTATTAATTGTTTATAAATCCAGATATAGAATCTATAATTTATTTCTGTATACTTTCAAAAAATGATAGTTTGACTGAAACTGTTGACATTTATAAAATAAACTACTGATAAAAAATCAGACATCCTCATGATCAAATATTTAATCTGTTATTCTTTTATTCAAACATAATATAATGATTAAAAAATATTATATCTGTGATATTTTAACAAATTTATGTTGTAATAAATTTTGATTTATTTAATAATAATAAATATTTTAATACTTTATGATCACTACCATTTATAATATATCAATTTTAAAATATACAGTATAAATTTAATTTCATTTTAAAGTATGATGTTATTTTAAATATATATTACAATTTTTATTTTTATGCGTTTTACTAATTCTATACTAATTTAATTTACGTGTATACAGTATTATTGAAAAACTATAATTTTTTTTTTATTGATGTAAAACACATTTATATATAATATAAAATTGGACTAGTACATATATAAAATTTTATAGTTAAATAAAAAAAATTAAGAATATATCTTGTAGTTAACATTTACTTGATTTTAACCTATTTCAGATATTATTAACATTTTTAAATCTAAGAGAGAAGTGTAGTGAAGCCAAGAAATGAAAAGTGATAAAATTAGCAGAAATCACCTTTCATGTCGTAACATTTTCTTAGTAAATATTCTTATTACTTTTGTATGTTGCTATTTGAATCAATAAAGTTGAAACCTTTATAAGGTATTGTGATGTACGTAAAACACTTTTTATTGATAATAAATTAAAAAAAATATGGAACTAATGAAATCAATAAATAATTTCAATATTATTTTTATTTTTCTATTAACTGACTAGTTTATAATAAAATATTTTATTACTATCGAAATGATTCCAAAACATCACCTTGTACATATTTTTGTATAAGAGGTTAAATAAATCTCCCAGTGATTTTACTTAATCGTGAATAGTTTATTAATGTTAACTGCTATATTATTTAGGATAAATATTGTTCTATATAATATCATTATACAATGTATTGTTTTTAGTCAATTGTTGACAAATGACTCAAGAGGGCAACTGAGTAAGTCGACATCCTTAAGCTTTAATTAATCTCTTAAAGAAAAATTAAAATTAATGGCTTGAAATTTGTTAAAAATACTCTTTGGATACATTATGACCAATTGATATAAAGCGCATTAATTAATCATTATATTTTCTGGTTTGGAATGCAGAACTGTAAAAAATAATTACTCGTGCAAAGTGTAAAGTATTTTAAAATATAAAAAGTCTAGTATATCTAGTTAAAACGTTATGTTTCGAACTGGATTAATAAATAAAATAAATAAATCGTAAATGCTATTATTAAATAGTGGACTGTATCGTTTTTATTATAATATTTAATTTTAGGCCGACGATTTGTCTGCGCGAGTACTTAAATTGAACATTACTAAAATTATATTGGTCGGTATCCACCATTATTATTATCATTTACTAGTATGATAACCGAGCGCGAACACACCGCCTACCTTGAAGTAACACATTTCAATAGAAAAATATATGATACATATAAATAATAAGATTATGACTAACAATTGATCCACATTCATGGTCAGAAATATCAATAATAATACTGTAAAACATTCATAGATAAATAAAAAATATTTATAACTTAGAACTGATGCGTCATACTTTAAACCAATTACAAATAATTAAATTAATAAATAATATAAATTACGGTAACTAAATGCAGCATTTAAAAAACATTAGCTACAAGAATCTTAAACAATGAACATATTTTATTATAGAAATACAAGTAATAATTAATACCAATGGCGTATATACGATTATTTTTGGGGGGGTTTATTTCATATTAAATTTTTGACTAATTAATATTTAAAGATGTATTATTTTATTTAAAATTAATTGATAATATTATTAACAAAATGTAAAAAAATAATTTTAAATCGTACCTCTACTTTATTTATAAATAATTTTTTTTTTTGGTTCTGGGAAGTTTAAACCCCTAACCCTAACTATCGACGCCACTGATTGATATATTGCATACAAAAAACAAAAATAATAAATTTATATCACAATATTTTGACTAAATATGATTATTTTTTTATCAAATTTATAACTATATTTACATAAATTACCCAACATACATTTTTACTTATTTGAACTTGCTGTACAATCTCAAGATAATATCATTGCGAAGTTTTTGAGATGAATATTTACATATGGAGTAAGTATGCTGTACAAAATAGCTCCAAAAATATTAGATCTAATCATTAGATTTTCAAATGGCACCCAATTTTATCTTCGATGTGAAGCTGAGAAGGTATTTTACTATGATGCGTTTTCTTTTTTTCTTTTTTTTTTTTTGTGTCTTTGAATGCTCAATCTCAGCTCTGGCAGGATCAATTTTGATGAACAATACGTCAAAAGATTCCAGTCGAAGACATTACCCTCGAAAATTGAAAAAAATTCCCTCGTTCCCCGTAAATGGGGGTAATCCCCTAAAAATTACAAATTTAAAAATCACTAATTTTCGTAATTTAAAATTTTTTTTTACTTAAAACTGCCATAACTTTTTCAAAAATGAACAAATCAATATCATTTTTTTTTTATAGATGCTTGATGTCTTTACATATCATTTGGTATATTTTTTTTATAAATTTGACCCTTTACCTTTTACCCTTTTCAAAATATACATAAACAAATATTTAAAAAATTATATTGTGAGCATATTATGGAAATATTTCAATAGAATATATTTTTTATTATATTTATTAGATATTGTTACAATATTTTATTCAAAATATTTTAAAAGTATTTTGTAAGAATATTTTGACAATATTAATATATTGAAATTGCTATGTGGGTAGGGGGGGATTTAATGACACATGAGATAATTACAAATCATTTGGTATATTTTTTTATAAATCTGATCCTTAACCTACTCACAGGGGGGATATAAAATGACAACTTTTTTACAAAAATTAACTTTATCAACTTAACTTTTAATAGTGTTCCGGAAATACTGACACTTTTATATATATTTTAAATTAAAGCTTATGTAATATACTTAAATAAAAAAACCCAACCCAGCACAGGGGGTCGCGGCACAGTGGTGACGTGGTATAGATGGATCAAGTATAATGATATCTGACAGTGATTAAAATCACTATAAAAAAAAAACGCTTCGATGCAAATCTTTAGATACTGTTTAATTTTAAAAAATTGGTGGACTATTCCAAAAGCTACATTATCTGCTAGTTCATTATTAATATCCTAATTAAGATAAAGTATGTAGAATGAAAAAGGGATTATTAAAAAATATTATTTCNTACATGCATTTTTTAGATTTGAACCCCCCTCGTATATAGGGAAATGGTCAGATTTAAAAAAACAGTATGTCAAATGAAAGATGTATATAAATACTACTTCTCATGAAAAAATTGCACTGATCCATACATTTTTCAAAAAGTTATAGCATAATAAAGTTAAAAATGTAAAATACAAAATCGAAAATTTTCACACAAAAATAGCATTCGGTAGCCATTTTCACCGTGAAGATAAAATAAAGTCCGAAATTTTTTTTTTTCATAATAAAGTATATTACATTAGCTTTAATTTAAGATATATATAAAAGTGTCAGACCTTCCGGAACATTTTCAAAAGTTAAGTTGAAAAAGTTAATTTTTTGTGAAAAAGTTGTCATTTTAAATCCCCCCTTGTGGGCAGGTTAAGGGTTAAATTTATGAAAAAAATATACCAAACGAAATGTAATGATATTACACATCTATATAAAAAAGAATTATATTGATGTGTTCATTTTTGAAAAAGTTATGGCACTTTTAAGTAAAAAAAATTGAAAAAATTTCGAAAATTAGCGATTTTTAAATTTGTAATTTTTTTGGAGGTTTCCCCCATTTACGGGGAACGAGGGAATTTTTTTCAATTTTTAAGGGTAATGTCTTCGACTAGATACGATTTGTGATCTTTTGACGTATCATTGAAAGAAATCGGTTCGGTGAGAGCTGAGAAAAAGTGGTAACAGACACAAAAAAAAAAAAAAAAAAAAAACACATCTTAGTAAAACCAATACCTTCTCAGCTTCGCATCGAAGCTAAAAAAAAATTTGACCTTTGAACTTGTCATCAAGGTGAAAATGACTATTGTATGCAAAAATATGCTATTATTGTGAAAAATGATATTATTCATGATATTATATTTTACATTATGTTGCTATAACTTTTTAAAAAATACATGAATCAATTCTATTCTTTAATGATAAATACTTTATATATATTTCATTCATTCGACATACTTTTTTTTTAATCGGACCATTTACCATTATATTGTGGGGTGCAAACAATTAAAAATACGTATAGAATGTAGAACTTTTTCAACTTAACTTTTGAAAATGTTCCGGAAATACTGACACTTTTATATTACTTTAAATTAAAGCCTATGTAATATACTTTATTTTGACAAAAAAAATTTGACCTCTGGATTTGTCTTCATAGTGAAAACGGACATCAAAGTGAAAGAAAAACGTACGATTTTCGTGAAAAAATTCTCGATTTTATATTATTCAATTTATATTGCTATAACTTTTGGAAAAATGTATCGATCAATATTATTATTTTTTTATAGTAAATTTTTATATACCCCTTTCATCTGACACGTTTTTTTTTGTAAATCGGATCATACCCCTTTATACAAGGGGGGTAAAAACTTTAAACATGCGTATTGAATCTAGGACATTTTTAATTTAATTTAAAAGTGTTCCAGAAATACTGACATTTTTATATAAACCTTAAATTAAAACTTATGTATTATACTTTAATTTGAAAAAAAAATATTTGACCTCCAGACTTGTCTTCATGGTAAAAATGACTACCGTCATTAAAAAATATGTTATTTTTGTATTCAAAATCTTGGCTTAGTATTTTATTTTACTTTAAAATACCTGACAAGGGGAGTACACTGATTTTCATAAATATTATATAAATCAAATTGATATACCATAGAAAGTTAAACTTATTTTATTTTTTTTTGCTTTTTTAAGTCGAGAAAAATAGCTTTGAAATTTAAATTAGCCTAAATTGCCATTTTTTTCATTGGGTGAAAACGACGTACGGTTAATGAGTCGGTAAAACTTGTGTTTTACGCGCTTGGGGTACAGGGTTCCAACACGCATATGGCAAAGAATTTTTTGCATTTTTTTCTTAATTCTTTTTAAGTTAATATGTAAATGAGTGATAACAATAATAGATTCAAACCGGGTTTTCGGTGTATTATTAATAGCTAAGTCTATGGTTTTGTAAGACTAAAGGATCTAACAAAAATACCGGTTGCATTGCCACCGATATTATGAAACGTAATAAATGACAATATTTTTTCTAAAAGTCAAAATCTTTGAATAATTATAAAACGTAAACGGTTGTTCGGATAAAATAAATTATAAGAACAAAATTGTTTGTAATTTTTTTTTCTAACATATTCTCAAATCAAAAATAGTGGTTTCCATTAAAAAAATTATATACAAACATTTTTATCCCTGAAGGGATAAAAAAAAAATTATTTAACCTCATTTTATTGTAGAGTTTAATAAACTTAATAATTTTTCTTTTAACAAAAATTTTAAATTCTCAATAGTTTCTGAGAAAATAAGTGTCTTACCATATTTCGATCACTCTGTATATATAATATTGAAGACACGCATGTGTGTACGGGTACGAAAACCAAAAATAAAATTATACAGGAATAGTGTTGTCCGTTTTTAGTGAGTGGGGTGGGGTGAATGCGTTACGATAGTCTAGATTCAAGGCCATAGACGACGGGATACACGAGAATAACATGTGTCACGTGGAGAGTTACAAACAAACATACATACAGGTGAAACTATTATAAGCGTGTTAATAAATATAGTTTAAAAAAACTAAAAAAACACGCTTTTAAAGCACATCGAACAAACAAGTTAAAAATAAAAAAAATTTTTTTATATTGTCCGATTTTTAACTAGTTACATGATAGGCGTTATAATTTTTAAAGGCGGCAACATAATCTTGTTATATATCTATAAACGCTATCGTCAGCTTACTAATAATACTAGTATTTTTACGTTTACTACTGTTTTATATTTATTTTTTTTGACAATTATATTATATATGTATATAAGTATGCCACAAAATCGGGTTATACCGAATATAAATAAAAATATGTCACAATATGATAAATCGGACTTTGCTGAATATAATAAATATATAATAAATCAACAGACAATGCTGTAATGTGGTTAGGGCCCCAAGTTAATAACAAAATAATAATATAATAATACTATATATTTCAATAGTAATAAGAATTTAATTTTCTAGCTAGGAATTCTTATCCAATATTCAACAATAAAGGGAGGATAGAACATAAATATGTACGTTTCGTGGTAATTTGATGTTTTGGTGATCAAGTAGCTACATACGAAATTACACGAAGATGTTAAGGCCGTGGTTTAAATGTTCTATCAGAAAGGGACTGTGGCTCAAAATAAAATGACAAAAGTCATGGTAATGGTCGTGACATTGACCGTGGCAGTGGCGATGGCGATGAATTGCTATGAAAAATTGCGAGATGGCAACCAGATGAATGCAACGTATACACTATAGAGGTTAATAATTGACCTAGTTAGTCGACTACTTGATTATCGGACTCAAAGATAAACAAGAGAAATAAGTTTTGGAAATATTGAAATAAATGCTTACATGAGTAAGCATGTAATAAACAATTTTTTATTCAAAATATAATGATTTTTATATTTTATATTTTTCAGGGAGAATGATCGAGATTTAGATCGTAATTCAAAATAAAGAGGTATTGTGACAGCGAAAAAGTCTTTGATAGATTTATTGATTAAGATGATTAATGAATAATTAATGGATTTTAATTTAAGTAGATTTAAGCAAATTAGAATATAAGAATTAGAATATAAGATTATATATACAGGTATTATATATAATTTAAAGTAATAAGTATATAAAAGTAACACGATTTTCCCTGCTAATCCTTGTATCCGACAAGGGGGTAATTTTAAAATCGAAAAGTATCTAAATTTTTTAAATGTAACTCTAGGGAATAAATCGGATTTATTGAATATTCTCTACAATCACCACTGGGGTGTAATATTATTGTCATACCAATAACAAAATTTTTTCTAGTCATGATAATAATCAAGTGGTAGGTAAGCGTATTTAATATAATTAGTGTACTTTAATACAGCATTTTACCCTTAATCCGTTTTGGATTAAATAAATTCGAACACTTTAGCACCAAATTAAATAATAATTACACTTTTAAGAATTTTTAATAGTTGAAATAACACAATATTATGATATTAGTTACGTGTTAAGTAGCGAAGAGAACCGTTGTCGCAAATTAACCGATTTTCGGGCGTGTTGTCACACTGACCTTGCCTATAATTTATGTCAGCAAAAAAAAAGTAATAATATCGACAATGATTGTTATACACATAATATATTCTCTTTTCGGTACACCACAACTCTATTACCATCAATCTATGTTGTGTAGTTATACTCTCGCCTGATATAACTTTACAATCGTTTACTTGCTTTATGCTTTCTCTCTTCCACATAAAATAATCAATCTATGATCTATTCCTCTCACTCTAAGTTATATAATGTTCTTCCCTCTTTCTAAAATAAGTATTAACCTCAGCAAGATCATACGATACTGCGAAATCCAGGAATCTTTCTCCAGCCTCATTCTTCCCACTAAAACAATACCCTCCATGTACTTTTTCATATCCTCTCCTCTCATTACCTACTTGTCCATTCATATCTTTACCTATCACCGCATCCTCAATGCCAGATACCCCTTGCATCACCTCATCCTCTCTCCAAAACACTTCCTTATCTATTTCATCACATCCTACTTGTGGTGCATAGGCACTTATTACATTCAACACTTACTCTTCGAATATCAATTTAACTACTATAATTCTGTCACTTTTCCTAGCTACTTCTACTACTTTAATTTTCGTCTCTTCATCCATTATTATCCCTATACCATTCTTTGCACTATACTTACCTAAATATATATTATTTTATAACTCTCACCTATTTCCCTTGATTTCTCTCCTTTCCACTTAGTTTCCTGCAGCAAATGTTAACTTTCTCCTCTTCAATACTTCTACTAATTCTCTACTTTTGCCAGTTAATATTTCAACATGCCAAGTACCTATTCTTACTTTGTATCTATCTTTTATCCCTTATACACGAGTCCAGCCTAGAGTTAAGTGGTAATGTCCCTACACCGTTGACACTACAAGCGTTGGGAAGATTTGTATACATTACTGGTGAAACATCTACCGCACAAATTGTCCAGCTGGTATTAAACACTTTATTCCTTAGGTATTCTCTATTTTTAATTACTTTATTCCCTCTCACCTGTTGTCCTCGTACGTATTCAAGATGGCAAAATTCGCTGAAGTTTTGTTCAGGATACCTCATACTATTTGACAAAAATTTTCCGCGAGCTTTCGACTTGACGCAACCTCATTAGTCACCTCTTACGACTGGCAATTATAATTAATAAAAAAATAATAGTAGCGTCGGTGATCACTTTTTGTCATTGAAAATACCATCAAAATTAATATAAAAAGCCCAAAATAATGAAAATTCTGGCTCAGATGTCACTCTGATGGTGGTCAAAATACTCTCACTGGCTCAGATGCGTTCAGTTGTTTCTAGAAGCACTCAGTACGTTAAATTACGATCAATCAGTCTACACTCTAATTTCATAGCGAAATATATGCGAGAAGTGATTTCCATGTTTCCATCATAATTATACAAGAAAAATACATCTATTTATTTCAAAGTGTCATTGAAAATATCAAGGTAGGAAACTAATAAGTTCATCAAAAGTATATAAGGTTTAGAATTAAATTTTATGAGTACATAGAATAAGTTAGCATACAGGAAAATCAACTGATCATCAATAATAAAAAAATATACCAAGTAAATTTCATAAATCGATAATGTTTGTACAGAGTTATTTGGCAGAATTATATCTTTGATACGTGTCTATTTCAGGAGTTGGAGGTTCATACTACTTTGAATAGACACATGAGGTGACTTAATTCGACCTATCATCGATAATCGTTAAAACTCGTGGCATTATTGATATTAAAGAATTGTCAATAAATCATAATAAATCTCATATTCATAAAATAAAGATCACTTTATTTTAGCTTCGATGCGAAGCTGAGAAGGTATTGGTTTTACTATTTTTGAGATGAATATTTACATATGGAGTAAGTATGCTTTACAAAATATCTCCAAAAATATTAGATCTAATCATTAGATTTTCAAATAGCACCCAATTTTAGCTTCGATGTGAAGCTGAGAAGGTATTTTACTATGATGCGTTTTTTTTTTTTAATTTTTTTTTTTTTTTTGTCTGAACGCTCAATCTCAGCTATCATCGAACGGATTTCTTTCAACGATACGTTAAAAGATCACAAATCGTATCTAGTCGAAGACATTACCCTTAAAAATTGAAAAAATTTTCCACTTTCCCCATAAATGGGAGAAACCTCCAAAAAAATTACAAATTTAAAAATCACTAATTTTCAAATTTTTTTCTTAAAACTGCCATAACTTTTTTAAAAATGAACATTTCAATATAAGTTTTTTTTTTATAAATGCTTGATGTCTTTACATATCATTTGGTATATTTTTTTTGTAAATTTGACCCTTTATCTGCCAACGGGGGGGGATTTAAAATGACAACTTATTCACAAAAAATTAACTTATTCAACTTAACTTTTGAAAATGTTCCGGAAGGCCTGACACTTTAATATATATTTTAAATTAAGCTAATGTAATATCCTTTAATTTGAAAAAAAAAAAATTTCGGACTTTATTTTATCTTCACGGTGAAAATGGCTACAAAATGCTATTTTTGTGTGAAAATTTTCGATTTTGTATTTTACATATTTAATTTTATTATGCTATAACTATTTGAAAAATGTATGGATCAATACATTTTTTTCATGAGAAGTAGTATTTATATACAACTTTTATTCGACATACTGTTTTTTTAAATCAGACCATTTCCCTATATTTGAGGGGGGTTCAAATCTAAAAAATGCATGTAGAAAGTAGAACTTTTTCAACTTAACTTTTGAAAGTGTTCCGGAAAGTTTGACCCTTTTATATATATCTTAAATTAAAGTTAATGTAATATACTTTATTATGCAAAAAAAAAATTTCGGACTTTATTTTATCTTCATGGTGAAAACAGACATCAAAGTTTATAAAAAAAATACGATTTTTGTAAAAAAATTCATTTTTATATTTTTAACTTTATAATGCTATAACTTTTTGAAAGATGTATGGATCAATATAAATTTTTTTTATAGATGCATGATGTCTTTACCTATCATTTGGTATATATTTTTTTTATATCTGACCTTTTACTTGCCCACAGGGGGGGATTTAAAATGACCACTTTTTCACAAAAAATTTATTTTTTCAACTTAAATTTTGAAAGTGTTCCGGAAAATGGTGAAAATGGCTACCGAATGCTATTATTGTGTGAAAATTCTCGATTTTATTTTTTACATTTTTAACTTTATAATGCTAAGACATATTGAAAAGTGTATGGATCAACATTATTTTTTTATGAGAAATAATATTTTTTAATAATCCCTTTATCATTCGACATACTTTATCTTAATTAGGATATTAATAATGAACTAGCAGATCATGTAGCTTTTGGAATAATCCATCAATTTTTTAGAATTAAACACTATTTAAAGATTTGCATCGAAGAGTTTTTTTTTTGATAGTGATTTTAATCACTGTTATTTTAATACCATGTTATTATATTTCGTAAGGTTTGCATAAGTAACAATATTCCAATTAGTATTAGTGAACTTCAAAAGTACTTAATTTTTGTAATATATTCCAGATGAGTATAAAATTTACATTAATATATAAGCTAGAAATTTAGATACAATGCTAGGTAAATAAATTGTGTTATAAATTCGATGATAATTAAATTAATAAATATCTCATTAAGAAAATAAATATTCTACTATATTTTCAATTTGAAAAAGCAATTGATTTTTCTCCGCATAATTAATAAAGGACTTAACAACATTAAAATCTGAATTAAACGTTTTGGATACGACAAATAAATCTTCTAGCAACAAACAAACTATAAAACTATAAACTTAAAACTAATTAAATTTCATAGCTAATACCTCATATATTATTTCATCTAAAATATAATCATGAATATCTTTAAGATAATTTTTAAGATACTCAACTGAGCATCTCATTGAATTTGATTGTTACAATTTATGTTGGTGACAACTAACAATGCCTAAAAAAAATTTTAATAACCACAAGGAACCTATTTCAACACCATTGAAACCAAATAATATACTCATAATTTTTATCAAAACTCCAAGATATCTCGACATTAAATAAAATTTTATAAACTTAATTATAAGACACTATAAGAAACATATAAAAAATTATAAATTTTTTTATTCATTTTTTAACACATTTACATATAATATCAAATTTTACTAGTACATATATAATATTACATAGTTGAATAAAAAAAATTAAAAACATATCATCTAGATAACAATTCTTGAAATTTTTCAGAAGATATAAACATATATATTTCTAGATAAGAAATAGAGTAAGGCCGAGAATTGTCTAGTGATAATATTAGCAATTAATAAATATCTCATTAAGAAAATAAATATTCTACTATATTTTCAATTTGAAAAAACAATTGAATATTTTCAGCATAATCAATAAAAGACTTAATAACATCGAAGTCATCCTTTACAAATAAACTTTTTAAATTACTGATAAATCTTTCAGTAGCGCCCAAACTATAAAACTGAACAGTCTCTAGCTCTATTTCGTTGTGAACTGGTCTACATATTTCATCTTTCACAAAATAATGTTCTTTGCCGTTTAATTCCATTTCTTCTAATGCATTGCATCCTAAATCCAAACACAAAGTATTTAAATATGATTTGAGCAAATGGTCATCGACGTCACGCTGATTTTCAATTGTTTTTTTTACCATATTAACATAATCATTGTCTTTTAAATGAAGGAACGTCACAAAGTCACTAAGTATTTCTATNTAAAGAAACGTCACAAAGTCACTAAGTATTTCTATCCATTTTTTAATCAAAACTTCCTTAGTAGATTCATTTTCTTGTTTTTTTACGTATAAGAAATGTTTCCATGTTAACCTTAAAATTATGACTTTGAAAAAGCTAAAAACTAAATCGTAGTATTTTTGAATACTACTCAATTGGTTTTTCCTCCAATCGATATTATTTGCTTTTTCGTATTTTTCCTGCAATTTCTGTAGAACACTCTTTTTAGTAACATTCCAATCAACTTGTACATTAAAAGAATTCATTAACAAATTTGTTCTAAAAGCGTTATCTCCGATATTTTGAATTAGAATATTATTTACAGTAAACTTTTCGTAGTTTACTGCAGGTAAATCAGTATTTTTTAAAATAAAGTTGTTTATGATAGAGATTTCTTTTTTTATGATATTAAATATATCTTTTAATGGCTGATTTTTTAATTGTTTCAATTCATTTTCGTTTATATAAAATTGATTTTTATCTGTATTACATTCCATGCCTGATGCCTCAGAGTCTAATTCATCAATAATATAATCATGAGTATCCTTAAGATAAATTTTAATATACTCAACAGAATATCTTTGAATTGAATTTGATTGTATCAATTTATGTACATGACGGCAAACTATACCTAAATATAAGTTTAATAACCATAAAGAACCTATTTCAACACCTTTGAAACCAAATAATGTACTCATCATTTTTTTTAAAACTCCAAGATATCTCGACATTGAATAAAATACATTTTTTAGTTCTCTGTCCGGATGATATAATTCTATTTTACTTATTTGCATATATTTTAAAGCATTAATTAAATAAGAACATTTTAAAAGCTGAACATTTTCGATTGACTTTACTTGGTTTTCCTTGTATCCAGTGTTAAGTGTATCATTATGGTTTACTTGCATTAAAAGTAACACCATAGTTACGTTTATTATTCTCCTTGAGTTATTACTTGTAATTAACATCTCAATGAAACAAACAATCATAGATTTTGTAAACTTAATTATAAGACACTATAGAAAACATGTAAATTATTGCAATCTACAACTGTTCAGTTTTACACTATTTTAAATATGTTATTAATTGTTTATAAATCCAGATATAGAATCTATATTTTATTTTTGTATCCTTTAAAAAATGATAGTCTGACTAAAACTGTTGACATTTATTTAATAAACTATTGTTAATAAAAGTTAAATATATGAACGTTTTAAAAATGGTGGAAGAATATCTACCTTTTGCAAATGACAAAAATAGTTATGTGAAGGAGATCGTAAATGCCATTTTTTTAAATATCTCTTGGATAAAATATGTTATTTGTTACTGTGAAATCTAATTATAATAAAAATATTAAAACATTTTTTATAAATCTGTGTTATTTCAACATAATAATTTTTACAAAAATTGTTGTCTTAAGTTATTTTTTTAATATTTATTTTAAAAATAATTTTTTCAACTTTATAATACTTTTATAACTTATTATCTACGTTTAAATATATACTTCTTTTTTTATTACTATATAATCATATATATATATATATATTATTCAAATTTTATTTTCTATGTGTTAGAGCGCGGGTAGATAATATTAATGCGCTTACGCATTGCGTTTGCAACACCTTTCTTTGCAGTGGACTGTATATATATATTTTTTTTTATAGAAAGGGAAGGGATTCTATATATAAATAAATTAGTCCTAATAAACTATTGCTCAGTATAATAATTAATAGCTAATTAGATAAACAATAATAGTAATATGAATTGAATGTGATATGTAATGTAATTTCTTGCCTAATTGTACAATTGATTAATCACATTAGTTAAATATTTGATTGGCCAATCGGTAATAACATTTCCTTTAAACAAATTGTTTAAAACTTATAACACAATAACTGCCTTGACGACTTACAAAATAATTGTCTTGACGACATATAAACACAATATGCACCTTTACGGCTTACAAGAATAATTTTGTGTTGACGACATAATAAAACACAATAACTGCCTTGACGGCTTACATGAATAATTTTGTGTTGACGACTTAATAAAACACAATAACTTCCTTGACGGCTCCCAAAAAGATTTCGTATGGACGACGTTAAAACACAATTTGCCTGAGCGGCTAACAAAAATTATTATGTTTTTACGACTAATTAATACAATAATTTCCTTGACGGCTTACACTACTTAAAAACAACACAAAAAAAAAAGTTGAATAGAACAAACGAAACGATGGAGGATGGACAGCAGAGCACTTTTTTTTATTTTTTTTAAAAATGACAACGATAACAGAAAAATATAACCTAATATGATAGGATGGCGTGAGCATGACTGCTCTCGTTACTACTGTCGCACATAGAGCGCAGCACTACATAACCGCGCCCTAACACTATGTTAATATCTAATATATATTTTAAATGTTCTATATATTAATTTTTCAATAATGCTGTATTATACATAAGTTAAATTAGTATTGTATTAGTACACCACATAAAAATAAAGATGATACTATAAATTTAAAATAATGTCAAAAATTAAACTAAATTCCAATTTATAATTTTATTTTCGAAAATTTATTTATGCTAAATATTTTTGATTATAGTGTTTTAAAACAATTAATATTAGTAAATCAAACATTATTACTTCATAAATTTATTAAAATAACACAGAAATATAATATTTTTCAATATTTGTGTTGTGAACTGGCTTTTTGCTGCCTAATTGTAGTTGTGTAATTTAATGGGATCGCACCTTTGCCACGAACTGATGATGCTCCGACATTTACATACTTCGACATTTGACAAAGAAGTAATTGTTACGAACATCTGGTACTCCGACCATCTGATTCATAGGTTACCAAAATTATGAAGGATTTTACTCCGACATTAAATTTAAAAAATGAGATAGTAAAAACTCCGACATTATCGATAGTTTGATTATGCATCGAAAGTTATATTATATTTCGATTGCATTGTTAGTAATAGGGCGCATTGATCGTATATGTTGCAACGTCAGGGTCACGTGGCTANACATTGATCATATATGTTGCAACGTCAGGGTCACGTGGCTACAGAAACACTACATTATTAAATTAATTATATTATTATAAATAGTATTGTAAAATTTAAATTAAAATGTTCTATTCAATTAGCATTTATTTGCTACTATAGTTATTAATACAATAATATACATTTTGCTTATTATTTTCTGGTACAATTTCTCACATTTAACATATGTTATTAATACTCGAATGATAATAGTCATTCATTAAGTAACATAAAATTAAGTGTTTAATACAAATGTATATTTTTGAAAAAGTTTTCTCTATTGTTAGAATATAAATTTATCTTTGAGAATTTTATTTTTTAATTATCCAATAATTATAAAATATTTTCATCAAATCAAAAAACTGTTAGTTAACTGTTTTTTTAGTCGATCCACAAAATTTTATCTAATAGTAACTTATTTTTTAACATCTAAGAGATCCATTTGAAAACTAATTTTATTAGTGATTAATTCCTAAGTGTGTAATATTAAAAAATAATAACTAATATAACACATAAAATTGTTTGTACAATATAAAATCATTCTTGGGGATGTCTGGATTTTTTCCTGTGCTGCATTAGGATATCTAAGTATAAAATAACACAGTATCGTAACACAGGAAAGAGAATGATATAAGATAAATGTGTAAGTGTGTAACTATGTGTACGAAGATGAATATGAGGAGGTGGTGCCTGCTGTCTAGGTATTCACGTGCGTGTTGTCGTACAGCAGTCACCGTGCTCGGCTGACACTCCGGGTTAGCTGTGGGTGTCGAAAGGCTGTTGTTATAGGAAGGGAGAATAAGAGTAACACCTAGGTATGAGGTGCAGACGAAGTGCAAGACACAAATAC